CCAGTGGCTGGCCATCCACTGACCGATGGTCGACCAGCGGATGACCGGCGAGTGACCACTGGCCAGGAGCTACACTTGGCCGCTGATGTCGGGAATTCATCTTGCTTTCGGTGCTCTAACCTGCACCTGCGTCCTCGCCGGTGCCAAAAAGAGGTTATGTGCACCGCAGGCGGCGACGACACTCCTGCGCGATCGTAGCGTCACCAAACGCGAACTAGGAAATACTTAATCCGAAAGTGTTCTTATCGAGGGCTCCAAAAATTGACATTTCAGGTCCCTTCTTTTGATATGAGAAGAAGCACTTATGGTGTTTGTAGCTTACCTATCCTTTTTTACATCAATGTTGCACAAGGGTAACGTGAGTGCCCAACAACACGGTTTCGTTATCGATAGGGTGCAAACATTTCGTGCATTTTGCTATGCCATGGCAATGCTATCGCGCCAATAGAAGACGCAGACTTTTAAAAATTGTATTCTCGAAAATGAAGAAATGGATGCTTTGAGAATTCGGGTCAATGACGTGGCCGTTGTCATTGACTTTCGCAAGCATTTCCAATACGGCATCATGTTCACTCGAATGGTTTAAAAAATCTACGATTGCAAATATTCGTATTGGTCGTTGACGAGGGTCGCCGTTTTGCATTTTTGGCACACTTACTATGGGCGATTGTGGTAAATGTGTGGGAAATCTAGCACGTTGTAGGACACCATCGATCCTACACCGTTAAACCGAAGACGGCACCCTGGCAGAATAGTAACTACTCCGATAGGGAAACCAGCTGAAAACTTCATTGGCATGCTTCACCGTCGCTAATGCACCTATTAATAGTTACAGGAAACAGCTAATTGTTCTTCGTGACGAAGGGAAAGTTTGAAAATCGAGTACCGAGTTGTAGAGTGCTTTTCATGGCGACATCTTGTGCACCCCGAAGCTAGAGGCAACTTTGGCTCACACCTTTTGGGAAGTACCGAAAATGGCCTCCCTAACGAAGTCACTAACTCAAGTGAGAGTTGCCAGACCGGGATTGACCGTGGTTTCGATGGCGGTGTTCGCCCGGCGCGACCTGCACCTGTTCTCCTAGGAATGCCAAAAAGAGGTTATGTGCGCGCGGTCGGCGCCTTTGGTGGTCGTCGCAGAGACAAGAACCGAGTATCGGACAAGTGCTCGATGCCGATGTACTCGTGCATGCCTTTTGTCCAATTAGTCAAATAATAACTCAAAGCCGGTCCAACTGCAAGGAGTTCTTCAACGGGTATTAGATTTATGGCTGAGGGTCCAGGGGGTACTTTTGTGGATTTAACTAACGAATAGGAAATAATAAACGGGGATCCAGAGCTAATCAGGAAAATTCCCGCAAAATAAACCGAAATACGCAGATCATGACGGTAATTAAAACAATTTGGTCCCTGAAGAAGGGACCATGGGGTTGTAACCACTAGCGCCAAGTATGGCGCATCATTTTCCTTTTGCATGAAATAAGATATTAATAATCTAATTCGTAGTATTTTGCAGATAATGGAGGAGTATATGTTGAAAACATATTCAACTTTATAACGCACAGAGTACTTTTGTTGATTTAATTAACGAATAGGAAATAATAAACGGGGATCCAGAGGTAATCAAGAAGATTCCCGCAAAATAAACCGAATAACGGAGATCATGACGGTAATTAAAACAATTTGGTCCCTGAAGAAAGGACCATCGGTTTGTAACCACCAGCGCCAAGAATGGCGCATCATTTTCCTTTTGTATGAAATAAGACATTGATAATCTAATTCGGAGTATTTTACAGATAATGGAGGAGGATATGTTGAAAACATATTCATCTTTATAACGCACGTATAGATGTATATATTAGGTTGTTCAGTGAGCCCGTAGCACCAACATTCAAATTAAAATTCTGATTCAAAGATCACTTAACCCGTAATTAAAGTTAATCGCCCGAGTTTGGATAACCACTAACCGCGGATTTTAATCTTCAATCAGCCTAATTTTCGTCGGTGCAACGCAAATTTCATTAATCCGAGATTAACTAATCACGGTTAAGAAGTTTTGCGCCAGCTACGGGGAACTTTAATCTTCGATTAGCCTAATTTTCGTCGCTGCAACGGGAATTTCATTAATCCGAGATCAACTAATCACGATTAGGAAGCTTTACGCTAGCTACGGTTGATGCAACAACCTATGAGCAGTCGTAAAAATGTGCAAGGTTAAGAAATTTATTTTCAGCTGCAAAACGAGCCAGGTATTAATTAAAACGTATTCCCCGGCATTGTTGATTACTTCTTCTCACCTTGCCGACAGTATTACGTAAACATGCAATTACCTCTAAATAAAATTCACCGCTGAGAACATTTGTCTAGGAACTTATGGAACGACAAAATAGTTTGGACAGAACATGGAGAAGCGAGGTCAAGCCGTTCGAGCGCGGGCTCGTTCGTTGAGAAGATTTTGCCCGAGCGGGTCGAGTGGGCGCGCGGCTGAAGTATATGGAACAGCCGATCTAAAGTTAACCGTTAGACCGTTCTGGAAATAGATGTTATGAGTATGAGGACAGGACAAGACACCGGCCTATTATGTTGCCCGGCGAGCTCCGTAACCGAAAAGAATCCACGTTCCACCTATTTACCCCGATGGCCACCTAAGCCAGAGCACATAATGAGCGCGCGAATTTTAGCACCCGAAGTACGTCCAAACAGGCTCTAAATCTGCCAAAATATGCCCGAATGTGAGGACTCGACCATACGAAGGTCACGAGGAAGAACCGGACTAATAATAAGTGATATTTTTCGAAATTATCAGTTTTACGCTCGTCCCGCCGGCCAAAAACCGACTATTTAACGACCGAGTTTTATACATTGCAGATGGCCGTTATATTCCGCAAATGTTGCACAAAATTGGCGGAAATTTTACCACGTAAACGGGGGGTGGGTCGAAAACAACGTTTTGTTTGTGTTTCTTGTCTCTGGATATTTATAATATGGCGGCGGGGACGTACTGCGTATTTTTATCATTAATGGGGAGGATGTACTTGCGACAGATCCGTCGATAGGGACTGATTTATCGGGTTCAAGGAAAACATACTTTTTTCGCTACACCGTCGCGGCTGGGTCACGGTAAGGTGAGTAAATCACTATATTTAATGGTGTACCGCCAACCTCGAGTTTCCTGGAGGAGAGCAAAAAGCGCTCCCGGTGCTTTCCTAAAGATGTCTAAATATTTGCCGGAACTGAAGCGAAGCCGCCATTTCCGCAGGCTGCTTTCTGCGCAAGTGGAGATCCACGGAAGCTCCGATTCGCAGAAACTGAAAGTCTTTCGCCCGTTAAAAAACGCATTCTGCCAGCTCCCAAGTTGAAATTTTAACCTTACTTTGAACCTGCGTAACCTAAGTAAGCCTTCTTTGTTCCTATTCCGCGCTTTATGCCCTACTTTCGACATTCTGCGTCCTACTCAATGCGAATTAAGTTCTACTTTAGATCTATAAGTAGAAGAAATGGAAATATTTGCCACTTTTAAGTCCTAAAGTAGGATCCCAATTGTTTAAGAGTTACCCAAGTCGAAAATTTGATCCTAGTTAGAGATTCTAATTGTAGGCCTCTTCTTACATATGATTTAAGATAATACAAAGGGTTAACCTCTGGACAATTGAGGTCCTACATTAGACCTTTAAAATAACGGATACTTTCATTTCTTCTACTCGCAGTCTTAAAGTAAGACGTATACGGCAGTAAATAGAACTTAAAAAATAAAACAGGACCAAAAAACGGTTTGCTTAGGTTACTCGATTCAAAGTAAAGACAAAATTTCGTCGTCTTTTGTCCTCTTCGAGTCATATCAATCCCCCTCTTTAAATCATCTCAAAATGCTTTTAACGTCTATAATTAAAGATTCTATATAAAATAAAAATTTCAACTCTGGCTTACAATTTGGAATTTCTCAATGGTCCAAAATTAACGAGCGAAGATCTTTCACAGGGATTAATGTTTCTCGTATAAATATTCACGTGCAACTAAAATCAAATAACGCGCACTTGACGTCACATTCTTCAAAGTAAAACATAAGGCCTTTCGGTGCCCTCCTAAAGACGGAGTAAATATTTACCAAAATTATAACGGTTTGTCCGTTTCCACGGCGGCTTTCTACGCACGTGGAAGCCCGTAGGAGTTCCGATTCATCGAAACCAAAAGACTCTTTTGAAGGCCCAAATGAGCTGACGATGCGCGACCGACGTTTAGGGACTTCTGGAATGGTTTACGATCCTACCGGCAAAGGACCGTCCATAAATTACTTTGGGCGAGTTTTTGTACCCCTCGTAACTTCAACCGTGCAAAGGGTTCACACTTGCGTCTCTTTCGTTCACTGTTAAAAAAATTGTGGGAATTTTATAACATTTTCTTGTACCCCTCGTAACTTCAACCGTGCAAAAGGTTCACACTTGCGTCTCTTTCGTACACTGTTAAAAAAATTGTGCGAATTTTATAACATTTTCTTGTACCCCTCGTAACTTCAACCGTGCAAAAGGTTCACACTTGTGTCTCTTTCGTACGCTGTTAAAAAAATTGCGCTAATCGAAGATTAAAATTTACTGTTAGGTAACCACCCGAAATCGGGCGATTAACTCCAATCACTCGTTAAGTAATCCTTGATTAAAGATTTGGACGTGCATGTTGATGCAACTGGCGCGAAAAGTCACACAAGGATAAATCCTAAGCACTGGATGTACCAACCGTGATTAATATGAAATTTCTTAGCTATGATTAATTAACTAGGGTGGACCGAGAAAATTTAGAAGATCAAAATCTTTTAAGTAATCACACAAAACCAGACGACTAACTTTAAGGGGATCTGAAAGTGGCATCCAAGAGGTCGATCGTTCATGAAACTTTTCTCCGAATTGAGTATACCGAATCGTTTCAAACTTAATAACGTGAATATGGAGGCTATAAGGAAGGTCCTGACGCCCATGAAATTTAATTTTTAATAAAATATTTAAGTACTACCTATAAACAAATTTTAAAAACGATTCAAATGTCATGGGTGCCGAGACCTTCCTTCAAGCCTTCATATTCACGTAGTAAACTTTGAAACGATTCGATACACCCAGTTCAGAGAAAAGTTTCATAAAGGAGACCTCTGTGTCGCCACTTTCATATGACCTTAATCACGCGTTAAATAATTCTTGATTACGGGCAACCGACCATTAAAATGATCTCTCAGGATTGATCGTCGCGTGGATCTTGCAAGAAAGTCTTCCCTCGGGATTCCTGTTGGTCTGAAATAACGACATCCCCGCGTGCCAGTGGCGGGAAAAAGTATCGGGGCAATTTATCACCCAGAGGAGAGTAACGACGGCCTAAACTTCGGTCTGGTATTCGCAGGTTCGAAGACGCGCAATCGCAGCGGCAGCCTCGAAATAGAGGAAGCCCAGAGACGCTGGACCGCCTCCCGAAGCGGGGCCGAAAATCCAAATTACGAAATCGCGGGAAATCAGCGGCAAGCACTGCCAAGATCCCTTGGAAATAGGAAAATCGATTAACCAGCCGTGACGAGTGTGCCGCTAGGTCAATGGGCACTCTGTGACCGTATCGGCCGGAAGAGAAGGATTTGGCACTCGAGATGAGTCGCTCGTTCCAGCTGGACCATGTCTCGAAATCAGATGATCGGTGAGAGTGCCCGTAAGTAGATTCATTTCTACTAATGCTCCAAGACTGTTCCTCTACTAAACACCGAGTAAGACACCCCCCTAAAAAGACTACTGAAAGTACTAATTAGTTAGATTGATAAACTTTGAATTTCGATTCCAAGGATATTAAGGGCGCCGCAGAATCATCTCCAAAAACCAACACCAAGAAGACATTCACTCTTTGTAGCCACTGGTAACCGCTTCGTTACTAATAAAAACTCAACGTCCTAATACCTAAGTGAAAACCTATTCCCTAAAATGGCTACTGGACATACCAATTAGTTAGATTGATAAACTCTGATTTTCGACTCCAAGAATATTAAGGGCGCCGCAGAAGACGTCCCTTTTCATCTCTAAAAACCAACACCAAGGAGACATTCACTCTTTGTAGCCACTGGTAACCGCTTCGTTACTAAAAAAAACTCAACGTCCTAATACCTAAGTGAAAACCTATTCTCTAAAATGGCTACTGGACGTACTAATTAGATTGATAAACTCTGATTTTCGAATCCAAGGATATTAAGGGCGCTGCAGAAGACATCCCTTTTCATCTCCAAAAACCAACACCAAGGAGACATTCACTCTTTGTACCCACTGGTAACCGCTTTGTTACTAATAAAAACTCAACGTCCTAATACCTAAGTGAAAACCTATTCCTTAAAATGGCTACTGGACGTACTAATTAGTTAGATTGATAAACTCTGATTTTCGACTCCAAGGATATTAAGGGCGCCGCAGAAGACATCCCTTTTCATCTCCAAAAACCAAATCAAGGAAACTCTTTGTAGCCTCTGATAACCGCTTCGTTACTAATAAAAATTCAATGTCCTAATACGTAAGTGAAAACCTATTCTTTAAAATGGCTACTGAACGTACTAATTAGTTAGATTGATAAACTCCGATTTTCGATTCCAAGGATATTAAAGGCGCCGCAGAAGACGTTCCTTTTCATCTTTTCATCATAATAGTTCTAACCACATTGGTCAGACGTCTCATTATCGATACCTAAACACTAGTTAACCCTTTCGAGGCACGGAATTTTATAAAATAAAAAGGCCCATGTTGCACAGACATTTTCTTTCTTTCTAAATTAAACAAAGTTGGTTTATTTTTATTAATAAAGTAATAACATAATATAAAGACATAACAAAATAAGAATAATTCAATTAAATTTGTTGTTATAGGGCGGGCCTCAAAATAGTCCCACCGTGCATATTCACGCATTAAAAAGATGGGACACATTAATACCACCGTGCCTGAAAGAGTTAACCAGGCACGTCTAGTAACATTAACCGGAGCTCTTTTTCGAGCGAAAAGGGAACTTGCGTACGATATTTCATGGATCCGTGGAAAGAACCGGATGGGCATCCGCGGTCCGCGGAGTCCGCCGAGATTCGTCCCTGCGCATGCGCGCGAGCGCGCACGAAGATAAATCCTGACGATAGAGAGCGCCGCGAAGTATCGGCACAATTCCAGAAAGCAGGCAATCCCCGATAATCTCGAAATAACGGGCTTCCCTCCACGGATCCCGCGCCGCGTCTCCCGCCGATATTTTTGGGTGGCGCGGCCGCCGAGAGACCGAGCGAGAAGGCGAATCCGAAGAGAGAGCGGCGGCTCTCCGGGAGGAGACCGTCAAACGGTTAGCGCCGTCCGCGTAACCTGAGAGCTAACCGCACCTCCGACCATATATGTCCGCCTGTCCCTCTCTCTCTCTCCCGCGCGCGCTTCCCCTCGCTCCCTCTCGCTCCCTCTCGCTCTATCCGTCCCGACCGCCGACGTGCACCGCTGCGCGCATTCAGCGTTTCCTCGATCGCGGATTATCTTCTCCTCTGCGTCCACGTCGTATATTCCTTGACCCTTCGATTTCATTTTACTCTAATTAAGGCTACGTGAAAGTGACGTCAAAGAGGCCTCGTTTATGAAACTTTTCATCGAGCTGGGTGTACCGAATCGTTTCAAACTTGAAAATATATACATGAAAGGGATAAGGAAGGTCCTGGCACTCATGGAATTTCAATTTTTTAATAATTTGTTTATAAATAGTTTTAAAATTTCGGATGAAAACTGAAATTTCATCTGTGGACCTTCCTTATAGGAATTATCGGATTATCTTCCCCTCTGCGTCCACGTTGTATATTCCTTGACCCTTCGATTTCATTTTATTCTAATTAAGGCGACGTGAAAGTGACGTCAATGAGGACCTCGTTTATGAAACTTTTCATCGAGCTGGGTGTACCGAATTGTTTCAAACTTGAAAATATGAACATGAAAGCTATAAGAAAGGTCCTAACACTCATGAAATTTAATTTTTTTAACGATTTGTTTATAGTTATTTTTAAAATTTTTTATAAAGACTGAAATTTTATGAGTGGACCTTCCATACAGTCTCCATGTTCACCTTTTAAAGTTTGAAACGATTCGGTATACCCACTTCGGAGAAAAGTTTCATGAACGATTGGCTCCTCAAATGGCACTTTCACATCCCCTTAAGCACTTCTTTGAGAATTCCAAAAACACAATGGTCGGGATTCCATTGTCAAAAGGAAAAATTGAATTCGAGAATCGAATGGCTAAAGGCCAAGGATGAAATGCGCTTCAACAATGCGATATGCCTTAACGATGTAAGATATTCCTACATTTCGATCCAATCTACAAAAAATTGTTCTGAAGAATTATATTTTGAGAAACACTTCATTGAAGACGTTAACTTTTTTTGACTATGTATTTCTATCTGTTTGTCTTGTCGCTCAATCTGCATTTGTGTTCAAATTAACTTCTTTCACATTGATTAGATTTCTTTTAGGCTTCGATAAATGCCTTTATCGGATAATTAAATATTTCTTTTATTATTAGTATTATTATTGTTATTATTATTAAATATTCCGACGTTAAGTTTTGAGGTAGAGACGATATGAATCAGTTTTTAATACACATCTCGAATTAACGACGCGGTAAGAGAAGTCTCCTTTTACTTTAATTAATATGTAATGTCTTAATTACTAATATATTTCAACGTCGATATTATTGTACGCGTTTTAAAGCGCTATTAATTTATGGGTAAATGTACAAAGCGGATAAAGTAGAAAGTCAAGATTAAACCGCCAAATAGTTCCGCGCGTCGCCGATAGATGGAGCCAGATTACAAGCTGACGTTACATCCGGAATACGAGTCTAAATCAAAATTAGACCGAAATACGTTTTTATTACGTTTCTTCGGTTCTTTCGGTATCCGGCTGATCATATAAAGGTGGGCACGAACTCTTAGTCAGCGTCTAAACATATTTTATTGGTATCGCGAGGGTATGCAGTTTTCGTTTTTATCGCGTAATATATCACTTCGATGCCGCACAGTAGTGAAAAATACGGCGATAAATTCGAGAGATTAAAAAACGCCGGACATTCCGGCCTTCGCGTTCATCTGAATGGAATTCGAATTTGGGTCAAGAGGGAGCGCACGAATTCTACCGAGACATTTCTTATTTCAGGGGTTCCCCGGAAAGTTCCAGCGGTGTTTTTTTGTTCTCTTTCCTTTTTTCCGAAAGGCCGAAAATACCTGCCCACTCGAAGGAACCGCGGGAAACGTCGAGGGATAAAAATAAGGAGAGTGACTCGTCGCGAGATCCAGGAGATAGGATTTATCGAGGACAAGTTTTCCTTACGATTCGGACATGAATTTCAACGATACGGATTCTACGATCGCGTCGGTAAGTTAACGCCCCTATCGACTCTAACTTGCCGATACATCCTTTAATTTACTTTTTACGCAAAATCTTGCCTAAAAATGATGAAAATGACATAACAAATGATTCCATAGAATTTCTTTCATCAAGCTGAACAACTTTTAGAGGGATAAAAATTACCATTGCCGATTAAGAAAATTGACGCACAGCACGTAGCATAAAAGCATAAGCAGTTATGCTGAAGATTTTCTTTTCACAAGTTTTCGCTCTCCGTACATTACAATTTTTGTTCGAAACATTTTTCGATTACCATCCTCATTTAGAAATTATTCAGGTGTTTATTTTTAAATGGGACACCCTGTATAATGTAAGAGGTAGCTCTCAGGTGGAGGACTTCGCTCTTTGTCGCTCCGAGATTGCGCAGTCCTGATAATAAATCACTACGCTCGGATGCGATCGCAACTCGATCGAGGTGACCGGAATGCGATTCTAGATTTTCCCGTCGACGGATTTGGACATCACGCCCGATCTACTTTATCTTACGGTCCGCCGTTAACTTGGCGATTTATTGTCGTTCCCATTACCGGGGAACTTCAAAGTCACTAACAGTTCCGCGAGCGTGATTAATCTATGCTTTCTCGTCAGTCGGTTTCAAGAATCAGGAATTATTTAAGGAGACAACTTTCTTTCCACCATAACCACATATCTGCATTCTACCAAAGGATTTATAAAAGAAAATCCATCCGCGTTGAAAGTTAAACTCTTCCAAGTTCAAGAGAATTATTATACTGTTAATTAGTCTTAATTATTCCACGAAATGTCCTCACGCGTTCGGTACTGGTTATTTCGGGCATAATTATTTTCATTTTCTGTTTATACTCTTTTCATTTCACTTTAAACGTTGATGAGTAACTAAGAGAATAACGCATTAACGAAATTTGCGTTTACGCAAATGCTTTCTCGTCAGTCGGTTTCAAGAATCTGGAATTATTTAAGGAGACAACTTTCTTTCCACCATAACCACATATCTGCATTTAACAAAAAGATTTATAAAGGATAATCCATCCGCGTTGGAAGTGAAACTCTTCTAAGTTCAAAAGAATTATCTTAATTATTCCACGAAATGTCCTCACGCGTTCGGTACTGGTTATTTCGGGCATAATTATTTTCATTTTTTGTTTACACTCTTTTCATTTCACTTTAAACGTTGATAAGTAACTGAGAGAAATAACGCATTAACGAAATTTGCATTTACGCCAATTGTCTCGATATACTAACACGCAAAGAGGAACGTAAATGGTAATGAACTCTAGAAACAAAATTTATGAAAACTGTGCCAATAGTAAAACACTGAGATGAATGTAAATATTAATTAACTTTAAAAGAAACGCTTCATTTTCGGAATCAAACCCTTTTCGTGACATACGAACTTGCACGTACTATTGTGCCATAAGAAGCTTCAATTCAAAATTTATTAAATCACGATAGAACTGCAAATAACGTGAGGTAAATATTTATATTAATAAATTCCAGTATTCACTCCTGAGTCTAACTCTGAGTCAGAAATTTTCATTGCACGTTTTCAGAGAGAATATGGAAGAACTAAATATTTATTTTTCTTTAGTAAGTCACTATGTTGCAAAATCGAATCGCCATCAGGCTGAGAATTTCTGAAATGTAAAAGTACCAATTCATAAACATTCTATTTTAGCGTTATACACAGTCATGTTTTCTAGTCTGCAAATTTCTTCAAATTTGAATGTTGATTAACAAAATGGTTATAAAAACCCATGTTCACTACGTAATTGAATTACCGACTCTCATTGTTAGTAACACTTTTTACCATAGTGCCTTTTTTCATTTGTCAATTCCAGCGAAGTCGATAATTCCATTTTTTTTCTTTATCTTCAATTCTTTTCTCACAAATCATTGTTCGATACTCCCTGAACCATTTATAATAATTATGTACGAACGACATACGGCGTTATTTTGGAGCAAGGACAAAAGCAATGTTACGAATGGGGTTATATCATTGTTGACTCAGGTAAGTTTTCAACTAATTGGCGCACAAATTTGACGCTGTATCACTTTTCATGACAAGCAACCAACACTAGCGTCTTCTGCGGTCACGTGATCTATTTGACGCTAAAATTAAGTGTTTAGCGACGGATGAAAAGCTAAATGGGTCAGGTAACCGCAAAAGATGCAAGCATTAGTTTGTGGTCATGAAAAGCGATGCAGCGTCAAATTGGTGCGTCAAGTGGTTAAAATCCCACCAGAGCCAGCAGTGACATAACCTCACTCAAAGCATTGTTTCTGCTCCTATACCAAAGTATGCCGCTCGCAAATAAATACAAGTGAATAAATACAAGAGTTAAGCGATTATTTGTAAGAAAAAGAACGGAGGTGGAAAAAAAATGGTAGTACTATTTACTATATTGGAATTGACCATTGTAGAACTACCACTTCAACTATAGAATGATTTCGGATTTTCACCATCATGTCCTTAGTCAACTACTAAACGTTAACATCCTGCCGCTTTTACGGCGTCGCTGCTGAGGTTGGGAAGGCTGAACTTTCTTTCTCTTATTTCTTTTCGAAGTGATCACGACATCGAGGAAAAGTCACGTGCCTGCGTCTAACGCTAAGATGGGCCGTTCACGGATTGGCACCTTAAGAAAGATTTTCTTTTATCGTACTGGCCCATTGTCCGGTACTTAGCGCCGTGACAAACGAGGGACAAGTCGACAAACGATGTCCGATCAGTCCACTGCCAATTTCCGGTGACGCGTAGATTGTCACATTTGCCAAACAAGCGCTAACCTGACGTCCATTCGTCCGAGGCATCGGTCATTTAAAGCCAGGTGGATGTGGCCAATTTTCCGACCGAGGATTACTCCCATCGCGGACGACAGCGAGGACTTGCAAAAGTACCACTTATTCCATTACGCAATTCTGCAAGCCCGTCCCTTCTTTAGCATAATCTCTCGTTCGTGTTCTAAGAATGTCTAACTAATTACCTAGCATTCCAGGAGAAAGGTGAAAGCATACAGTTCATCTTTAGAGCATGGCCAATACGTTGCCTAAGATGCATAATGATCCTTACGTTCGAAAACAATGCCTACAAAAGAATTAGACAAATTTCCAATCATGTACAATGATCAACGCTGTTCACATTTATGAACGATCTTCAGAATAATTTTACGAGGTCAAATGAAATTCCAAATGACGTTTCATGACGTTCCCCGTTAGTGACTCTGCCTTCTCGTCGGCTTCAGCGTCAGAACATTTACTGCAGCAGGTAAAACTAGACAGGTAAAAACCTCTGAACCCCGTTTTTCCTGTTGATTCACTGGGTAGCCATAAGTACCATACCTCCAGAAGTTAACGTTCTAAGATTTCGACCGGGGATCTCGGTATGTATTTTTTTATGTAAAAAAGACCGGTATTCGCAAGACCATGTATGCTTCGGATGAGTTGGTTAATGCCCATGAACCGTGTGATTACCCTATGGTGGGACCTAAGGACACGAGGTGATAAGGTATCACTGGCTTCCCCTCGTTTCCATTGCCGATCGAGAAGGCGGAAAAGATGTCTCTCGCACCAGGCCAACATTCTAGGTACACCTGTATTTATACATACGTAGTTGTACATACACGCGATGGTCGGTCTCCCCGCTTATTCGTCCCAGCGACCCGTTTACACAGAGTGTAACCGTCTAATATTTACAGCAAACACCGTCAGCGTATTCTGGACCTCGGAATGCTCGACGACGCGTAATGAGGCCTCGTGACAAATTATGTACCCGAGTTACGGAATTCCACGTGACAGCCGAGGGCCGTAGCGCGGCGAAAAGATCCAATAACTCGTAACTTATTAATATAATAATCGTCGACGAGCTGTGGAACACCTGACGTCTCGTCTCGCCGCTTGGATCCAATCCTATTCCACGCCTCGTCAACGATATCACTTTGATCGGTAACTTCTATTCTTATCATATTAAGCTCTGCATGACCCCGCAGGTGGATGGGCCAATCATATAAAGTACCTCCCTAAAATCTCGCTTAACCATAGACGCACCTTTTTCGCGCAAACCAAACGAAATAGTCACTTTTACCGTGTGTCGCTATAAAAGACAGATTGCAATATCGTTAACATTATTCGCACCTTTTTCGTGCAAACCAATCGAAACGATCATTTCTACCGAGACAGATTGCAATATCGTTAACATTATTCGCACCTTTTTCGTGCAAACCAATCGAAACGATCATTTCTACCGCGTCGCTACAAAAGACAGATTGCAATATCGTTAACATTATTCGCACCATTTTCGCGCACATCAAACGAAACGGTCACTTCTACCTTGTGTCGCTACAAAAGACAGATTGCAATATCGTTAACGTTATTCATCTTACAAGAATCTGTACAAAGACACCGTGCGGCAAATGTTAATAATTTGTGTAGCGCGTGTGAATTATTGGTTTACAAAAAGGTAACCTGTAAGTTACATTGTTATGCGCTTCCTACTAGGTGATGTTAAAATTGACGTTTCTAGTGCTTTTAGGTAAACAATTCTAGAGATAGCGGTTACCTTAACAGTGATATCCTTATTCAGGAGGCATGGAACAGTTTTCGAATGCACGCGAGAAAGAGTGCACCATGTGCATGGAAATCCTTACTGTTACTCGAATATTTAACCAGCAAAAAGTTACCGCTCTGATCGTTAGTTAATACTACTTCTCTATTTCTAAGTGTCGTTTAAAGTGCCAAATAACTCCTTACTTCCAGTTAACTTATGACATTCTTAGGTCTCTCTGGGAATAGCGAAAGTATTGAGTTTAAACGTGTTGACCACAAGACGCTCGTTTAACTTCTTACAGTGTTAAGGTAATACGAAAGTGCGATATATACATACCAAAAAGTGAAAATATTTATAAAATTTCTCTCCAAACTGGGTGCGCCAAATTATCTAAAACTTTAACACATGATTATGGAGGCTCTAAGGAAGAACGCACTGCCCGTGAAATTTCACTTTTCGAAAAAAAAAATATCTTCTTTTGGTTCTTGTCCGAGATTAATGGAAAATTCTTTTCGAATAAAGAAATTTCATGAGCGTTATTCCTTAGAGCCTCCATAATCAGGCGTTAAAATTTCAGATAATTCGGTGCACCCACTTTGGAGAAAAGTTTTATAAATATTTCGACTTTTTGTTATGTATGTATCACACTTTCATGTCACCTTGAGACATTATGTAAATGTACATTCGTGCGCGCCTCGTCGTTCTCCCATCCCTCGCTCTTTATTTCTAACGCGTGTAAAAATGTACATATACTCTACGTGTGAATTTAAATCACGGGCTTACATGGCAGACTATCGCTTCGTCTAAAGAGATTCCTCCGAAGCAATTACGGCCCGAGGCGCATTATCGCGATGGCTACATCAAATATTTTGCCGACCCGAGATCGTGTCGGTCCCTCGATTGAAATTCATCGAATAAACGGATACGAATGCCTCGCATACATTCCGTCATTTCCTTTTTTTCCACATCTTATACGCTCTCTTATGTAACTCTTAGTAACGAAACTAGGGACTAAGGACTAATTGAACAAAGTAAAGTAGCGCAGAAGAATTATTTTTCGCAAAAGAAGGGAATAATGAGATTTCGGTGTTCCTCTTGCAGGAAAAGTATGTGCCATTTACAAGGGGCAGAAATCTCGAAAATACATTATATCCGTTACTTTCGACTAGGGAGTAACATTGAATAATAACAATAAAAGATTCAATACGATGTTCATGTTTCTTTTCCTTTTTTCTTTTTTTTTTTTTTCTTAAACCAATCGACGACCACGAGTTTTGGATCTTGTCTATTCGACTTCGCATTCAGAGATAAATCGATTGCACGTATCGGAACAGCAATTCAGTACCTAAGTGCAAACTTTCTTATAACAGTGAATCGGAACACGTTGTTTATGTAAATTTAAAATTCGACCAGAACACTCCGACTCGCAAAAATCAATTCGGATTTTCCGCGCACGAAATTAATGACAAGCTCAACCGACCACGTGGAGTCGGAAACAAAGTGCAATCTTATTTGTAATTAAACTAACAATTTATCTATCGCGCCCAGGATTGCGAATGCGCGTTCGCCGAACGGCAGTTCTGCACTCGTGTACTGAATTAACTCTTTGAACACGGAGCCGTTTCGACATACGGGCGAAATTCGTCCGACCGTGCAGGCAATATTGGACCAAACGTCGGGCGCCTTCAGGCGCTCTTAGTAGCCAAAGGGTTAAAATCTAAAAGAAGTAAGCCTCTTGCCCCCTTCCTCTGTCTTTTCGCATTTATCGTGGCGATCGAGTTCGTCGGTTGTAATCTATTATCTCGATTTACATTTACTGTAAATTAGATAAACATATCCGGAAGACGAGAAATGGCTGCTCGGTCCGTCCAGAGGGTACGAGACGGCTCTCGTTACTCGCTCGCATCTTGCTGACTGGGGAAGAATACTGGAAAGTAACGAGTACACGGACTCGTCGGATGGTTAGAGCTTTTGTACGATGTCAAACTTGTCCTTGAAGCCAATGGACTCCTTTTTCGGGTCGTACTTCTTGCGCGCTGCCAACTGCGCGCGCAATTCCTTCGCGGTCATCTTCAAGTTTAATCCCCTGTGTTCGGTGGAATTGCTGGTCGTGTTGCTGCCGATATTGCTGGTGGAATTGCCGGTTCCATTTCCGGTAGCGTGTTCGTGGCTGTCATCGTTGCCATTTTGCCTGGGTTTCTCTGTCAAGGAGCTCTCCTCGTTTGACAGCGTGGTGCTTCCTTCGATACTTCCACTCGACCCATCGTTTGAACCGATCGACTTCTGTGCATTCTGAAAAGGAAAATTCCACTATATTGTAGACGTACTAACAATAACATTAACGTTTAAACATAATAACACAAAGATTATCATTTAAACATATTTCTTTCCGCATTCTGAAAAGAACAACTGCCCTACTTTGCAGATACGCTAATAATAAAATGACTACGTATGCGCGGTGAGAAAGAAATTTACAATTTAATAATTATTGTATGCATTCTAAGAAAAAAAGTGCAGTGTAATTTAAGCATTTCGATTATACGTAAATATTTAGGCGCGATTACGTAGACGGTACTATTTTAATCATTGTTTGACGTTAACGTCCGGCAATATCTGCAATTTTCAGGCATAACCGTGCAAGGAGTAACGAGGTATTTATCGGAACCGATTTCCGATACAGTGAGTCCTCAAAACGAGGAATGCAATTGTTCACACCCATATTTCTTCAAACGACAAACACCAACCGGGCAGTAAAGCCACCAGTAATAATTCAATTCCATAGCGTAAGAAGAGAGCACACGTAATGACGATTTTCCGAACCCCGAGGTCGCCGGTTTTCCTCTAAGGCGCAAAAAAGGCACAAAAGATCAAAGTCGCGAGTGGAAAGAACATCTATGAACACGTATATTCTGCTGCACTCTTGTCTAATGTCGAAGCTGCTTGCAAAGAATCAGCGGTTTCAAAACAAAAAGGAGCAGTAAAATGGCACGTGTATCCGATTAACTTATCTGAAAAACTGTTTTGTGCTCGGTTATGCAAAAATTTCGTCAAAGCAGAAAGGTGTTAAAACGCAGTCCCGAGAAAGAACACTAAATGGATTCGCAAAATTTTCGCAAATTATTGCGTTAGGAAACCTGGTTGAAGTAACGTTCGCAAATAATGTGACGGAACAGTCGAAAATGTCGACTTTTATTTATTTTTTTCTTTTTTTCCCTTGAGTTATACGATGAAAGAAATGAAGTTAAGTGTTGGAAATATTTGAAAAGAGAAAAGACCAAGACGATGCTTGTCACGGTTTGAGGCTAAAGGGTCATCGCTCGTTAAATGAAATGACGTAAAGAGATGTCCCCTGATCATTCGAGGCACATAATAACCTGTCAACGTTATTAGCTGCCTTCCAACATTCTTTCGCATGTACATAAGCACATGCGTGGGTAGACCGAACAAACGTAGCATATTCATACCACATTATTATGTAAAACTTTCCCCTTGATCAATACGTCAGAAGGTGTATGGTTTTTCCGCGACGCCTTAAAAGTTACATTTATTTCTACAATTGATTATCCAATTGTCCATGAATTCGCTATTTTACATTATATTCTAATCTCTTACATTGCTTAATGATCTGTCATACATTATCATTGCAAGCTTAGAATATTACCAATTATTAGTTATGCATGGCCAGCATTTCACAAAATCGTTTCATTAAACCGTTTTTCATGTAAACGAATTTTTCTTCAAAATCAAAATGGCGTGTTTAGCAGCGTGCCTAACTACACGATGTTAATTATTCATCAGGTATAAAGTTGACGAAAATTCTCTACGGAAGTTGCATTAAAAGTAACAATGAAGAGTGACCATCAAATATTTCTTAAAGAAGTAAACGAGACCCTACCTCAGAAACATATTTTACATTATATTATAATCTCTTACATTGCTTAATGATGTGTCATACATCATCATTGCAAGCTTAGAATATTACCAATTATTAGTTATGCGAATTACACATGGCCAGCATTTCACAAAACCGTTTCATTAAACCGTTTATCATGTAAACGAATTTTTCTTCAAAATCAAAATGGCGTGTTTAGCAGCGTGCCTAACTACACGATGTTAATTATTTATAAGGTATATAGGTGACGAAAATTCTCTACGGAAGTTGCATTAAAAGTAACAATAAAGAGTAACCATCAGATATTTCTTAAAGAAGTAAACAAGACCCTACCTCAGAAACCGAGTTAAAAAGTTGTCCCGCGTAAAATATACAACGCGTCGTAAAGTGTGACAAACTGAGCTTCGTGTATATCTTCTTCCCTCATACGAGACTCTAGTAAACAGAGTTGCTCCAGATAAATGCGAATGCGCGATAAAAAAAAGTAGACAGCGTGATTGTGGCAAAGTTGTCAAAACAGAGTAAATATAGTCACTCAACGAAATTCTTTCTTGTGGACTCTCCAACCCATGCGAAAGCTCATTTTTTCAGTTAAACTAGTTTATGCTATTAGCACAGTATAACCCTTGTGAACAGTATAGCAACTTTCTAATCGCGTTACAGAGAGTGACAGTAAAAATTCCGGTGAAAGAGTCATGCAATATGGTATAACTCCGACGTATGAGGAAAGATCGTTGAAATTCTTATTACAGTTTATCCGCAAAAGTTTCTAACAAAAATAATAAAATTGAAGTGAAACTGGCTCAACTTTTAATTTTTATCTTACAAGATCTTATTAATTGTTCTCGTAATCATGAAAGTGATCTGCGATATTTTCATAATAAACTACCTTGAAATTATTTTAATATAAATGTATGCAATATTATGGGATAAATTCATTTTTTTAGATTTTTGACTTAGACCACTTTCATAATTACTGACACAATTGTCCGCGAATTTGTTTAAATGCCGAATGTTGTCTTGCAGATATTAAATTCCAGAATGAATCAAGAGTATAAGCCAAATTGTTGTGGTGAAGACTTGATTTGTCAGTAATGAGATGTACCGAGGGGCTCGAAAATCAGTGAAAATGATTTCCTTCTTTGAGAACCGATTGTCTTTGATTTCCTGTGATAAACAACAATGCGAGTTAGTAACAAGTGACAATCAGCCTTAAAATGATGGTAATGTTTTGGTGATTTGCAACGATTTCCAAATAATTTCCACGTGATTTCGAGCACTAAAATCCATGATTTCCTGAATGAATATCTCAAGATGTACACGACGCTGCATACTGAATGTGTCGTTATGCAAATTTTCAATTATTAAAATATAATAAATCGATAGAGAGGAAAACGGGCCGTTTTGACATGAATTACAGTCGTTGTTGGGACAATCGTTAAACGAAATAGCGCAAAGGAAAGATACCATCGCACCTGTGACCTACATGAAGACATGAAGACGTGAGGAAACAATCGAGAGCCAAAGATGCTCCTCACGTATGAAGGCCGATCGCGCCTTTTCTTATTTAATTCTTCCTTTTAGATTCGGCCATTAGGCCATGGCCCAGAAACTCCATTCCGTTAGTCAGGTGTGCGAGTGCAAATTGAGTTGTTAACCTTGTACCCTTACAACTTCGAGAAGTACTCATCTCCGAGGAACACGTAAATAAAGAGACAACTTTCCTTACCGTTCGAAATGATAATTAAACTTTACACGCGATATAGCCAAAATGATTTTTCTTTACTTTGTTTCGGTTGCTTTGAAATTTTTTCATGGAAAGGAATTAAAAAAATTGCTACAAGTAGAGTGCATCTGTGCAATTTCATATGACGTGATATAGGTGAGTCAAGATAACCGAAATGCATCGATCTATGCAAATCTAGAGAGACAACTTTCCTTACCGCTCGAAATGATAATTAAACTTTACACGCGATATAGCCGAAATGATTTTTTTTTTACTTTGTTTCCGTTGCATTGAAATTTTTCCATGGAAAGGAATTAAAAAAATTGCTACAAGTAGAGTGCATCTGTGCAATTTCATATGACGTGATATAGGTAAATCAAGATAACCGAAATGCGTCTATCTATGCAAATCTAGAGAGACAACTTTCCTTACCGTTCGAAATGGAAATTAAACTTTACACGCGATATAGCCAAAATGATTTTTTTTTTACTTTGTTCCCGTTGCATTGCAATTTTTCCATGGAAAGGAATTAAAAAAATTGTTATAAGTAGAGTGCATCTGTGCAATTTCATATGACGTGATATAGGTAAATCAAGATAACCGAAATGCGTCTATCTATGCAAATCTTGGAGCTCGAGATGAATTTTGAAAATAGATAACTACAATTTCGGCACTGCAATTTAGCATCGTCACATCATGTCTCGTCTTGGTTTCGATTTGCCGAACTCGACCTATAAACCGTATTACCGGCTTGCGGTATATATCGTACATCTCATTGCAACGTGCGGGTAATACCTAAATGGGGAAACGCAATTGATAGCGATTCGGTGGGGATTTCCGTTATTCGATCATTCCACAGTAATGCGGGTAATGACAAATCGAGGAAACTCTTAACAGATAACGGCATTCGATTTAATACAACCAGGCGAGCATAATTACCGTGTACGTCCACGTAAGAGACTTGAGCGCATTTCTTAGGAATGTAAAAATTCTCTTGCGGAATAGCCTTAACAAGTCATTAACATTTAACATGTACTTGCGCTCACCTACTGCCAGTTCAATATGTCGCATTAAACCGAACACTATTGATAAAATATTTCTTACATTATGCAGAAATCATGTCATTACATCATTGATTTTTAAATCGCTGCATTTTAAGGTATTGATTGTTTTAACTAATAACTTTATGAAAAGAGAGAAATTGTATCGAACCTATTCACCTTTCTAGAAAAAGAAATTTGCCAAAATGATGCCGATATATCTTTGACTTTTTAATAAATGGTTGCATGTTAAGGTTTTCATTGTTTTAATTAATAACACCGTGAAAAGGGACAAGGTGTACGATATTTGGTTTTTTTTCCCCTAGAAGAAGAAATTGTGCAAATATGTCACCGTGATTTTAATTTTGTAATAAATTACTGTATTTCAAGATTTTAATTATTTTAGGTAATAATGCCGCGAAGAGGCAGAAATTGTGCAAAATTCATTTCCCTTCTTACAGGACAGCACCTGCAAGTCACATGCTCTTTTAACTATGTGCAATTCACACGGTCGCAATTGTCCTCATCTATTCTAGGCCGTCTGTTGCACAACCCGACGTGAGATCGTTGACATTTCACATTTTCACTTCTGCCCCTCCAATTATGTAATTAAAAAGATGCGTGCCGAAGAATG